CCACATTTCCGCCTCCATTGGAAATGCAGCCACCACTGCCGCAATTCGATCCCGCGACCTCTGGGTCAGCAGCGGAGTACCTTATCCATGAGACCACTGTGGCGGGGCCATGTTAAGAATGAGGCAGACAGTTAAGACATATTGTAAAATTGAAATGTGAATTCAGCTTCTGCCGTTATCCGTCGTTCAAGCAGTGTCTTTGATGACTATGCACCCTTGGCACAAAAAAATCTAATTTATTCTTCTGTTAATGCGAAGCATAAAAACTTCAGAAATCATTAAAAAAGTTTCTATTTTGGAACCATTTGGTTCCAAACAAGAAAATATTCATTAGCAAAAGATTTTATTGATGGATTATTTTAGTGGAAACCTACTTTACTTTCCCACAGAATCACTGCTAACTTAACACTTTTTGTCCCGTCGCAGCAGTTTATTCAGTCAATCTGCATCAAAGATGGCCACCTAGTGTTCGAACGTGTTGCGAACGGTATCTTGAATTTGCGGCTGTCTTCAAGCCGTACCCCGAGCCACTGTTTCAAGCAAAAGGAGGCGCAATCTTCTCAAGGTTTGGCGCAGGACAGCAGCGCGTGCAATCAGTGTTCCTAAACGAAATGTTTGATCTTTCCATTGGGTCTAACGGTTGGTTCACACTATGACACGAGAATGTGCATTGTCACGTAAAAGAACGATTCTCGATGACAATTTGTGACGTCATCAATATTTGTTTTATTTTTTTCTCCGGTGAGTGTTTCACAGTATATGTCTGCTGTAACGGTGGCCCAAATTTTATAGAAAAAAAGACTAAAAATGCGCATTTTTCTTGAGAAATTGTAGCTATCATTTTCTCTCTGCATTGCGCTAATTGCTTGATTTTTTTTTTTGAAACGGAGTGGCTGCACGACTGTGCTTTTCTGCAATTTCGTACACTATCAGTAGTGGTCTCCTGTGCAACCATGTGCGAAAACAAATCATCACTGCCGTCTTAATAGGAGTCTAAAAATGCCACTTCCGTTGATTTGAGCGAGATCGCGAATATTTTAAGCTACGATATTCACGAACAAGTAACACGCACACAGCGTTCATATGTTTTACCAACCAGCGTGGCCCAAGCGTGCATCTCCAGCCGCCTCACTGCTCTGCACGGTGCTGATTTCCAAATGTATTAATATAGAATAAAGTGAGATACTTCATACATCTTAGATTTGGCTGGAACAAACTGTGGTGTGTATCTCAGCAATTTGAATTTACAATCACCTGATTAGCTGTACAATTCCTCATCTGAATGATTACTTACATAAAGCTGGACCCACAGCGTCTCTGTTATGTCTGATGATGTTGATGATGATAACCTCATATGAATGACGCTCAACCACAGAGGGGGATGGGCCAACAACCAGGTGGCAGGGTACTTTAATGAAAGTAAAATGAAAAAAAAAAGCCAATCTGAAAAGTAGTAGGGTTAGAGATAATACTGCCAATAAACAAAAATGTTGGCTTTGCAAGCGGTCAAACCATCTCTTGTTCCTGACAGACATCGCTACGAATTATAAACTAAAGATCTGAAAAGGTTAAGGTTCACTAGCACGGTAATGTTTTAGTTGCATTGGTGTAATCAAACGCAGTGGAGCATATATCCCTGTGGCAGTAACGAAATGAAGGGCCGTCAAGTGATAAAAGTACTGGTAGAATTACTTGTATTCGTAGCTTTTGTAAATGGGCTACTAAAAATTTTTTTCTCTGAAAAGAGTAACGACGACAGAATAAAAAAGGAACGCTCACTTGTTTCAGTTTTGTTGCAAAAAATGCACAGCGGTGACGCGTTAAGTCGACCTTTGTTAAGGTAATAATTTAGTTGTGGAACTGTACAGCGCAATCTGGTATAAGCGACCTCTAACAGGCGAGATACACCATTGTTTATTCCAGCAATACCTTTAATGCTCGAAACCTTTAAATTTATTCAAATTACCTATTCCCATTGCAAACAAGCATTTCGAAACCTAAGGGCTGTCACGTAAGCCGTATCTGGCAATACTGGGATGGTGGGCCCATTCAGGGATACTGCTGCTAAAGAGCCCGCCATTTCGTTCAAATATAAGTCGCGGTGGCCCTGTACCCATAGCAAATGCAGTTTTCTTGCGTTTCTCGGTACTAAAGGCCGAATTTTATTCATCAGCTCTGCATTTGCTGCCGCAGAAAGTCCTTTACATACTGATAACGGAATCTGTAATGGCAACTGCTGATGATTCGCTTGGGGGTAAATTTGCGTAGGGCAAGAACCGTAGCCAATAATTCTGCATTGAATACAAAGGTATAATTGATTGATTTGTGGGGTTTAACGTCCCAAACCACCATTTGATTATGAGAGACGCCGTAGTGGAGGGCTCCGGAAATTTTGACCACCTGGGGTTCTTTAACCTGCACCCAAATCTGAGTACACGGGCCTACAACATTTCCGCCTCCATCGTAAATGCAGCCGCCGCAGCCGGGAATCGAACCCGCGACCTGTGGGTCAGCAGCCGAGTACCTTAGCCACTAGACCACTACGGCGGGGCTACAAAGGTATAATCTGGGAGTCGAATCGGAAAGGACCAGTCGAAGGAAGGAGAAAATATGCCAACCGCAGTGTTTTTTTTTTTTTGACACAGATGCATCAGTCGCAATAATATTGCTTTTCTGTAGGCGAGCTAGATAATCTGCTAACTGGTCATTTAAGTACCTATGTGCCAATCGTTTCGCGTTATAAGGAAATATATCACCAAATTGTATGTGAAGCATTGATCTTAGGTTGTGTATTGTCTATATTTCAAGGAATAAGAATCAACAGATAATTTTTTTTTCTTTTGTCGCTGACCTGCTTATCAAAGGAAAAAGATACCTTGTCGATCAAACTGAAAAGCTAGGTATAAAAGAAATGTTGCAGAATTTTATCTTTTGGAAATACATTGCGTTATAGCCAGAGGTAAGTTTGCTATGCTGTGTTCACGTACATATTGGAAATAGAAAGATTATCCTGTGCGTATATTGTTATTAATGTTTTCGGCTACGAGCCTATCTGATTGAGTGACCGCTTGCTGGTACCTAATTCCAAATGGATAATTTTGATACATAACCCACTCACTTAAAGATCCTGCCGCTTGGTTCTTGGCCATTCCGCCTTCATGGGTGAGTGCCAGCATGATGAGAGGATCATCGTCATCGTCGTCATCATCATCATCAACTGCACCTCCAGTACAGTCCCTTATTTATTGTCACATTCTCCGATCTTTGATTGTTATTCCTATCACTTTAGGTTTTATTTGCACGCTGCGTGGTCCTTGGCAGTTTCTTCATAGTTTCTTTATTACTTTCCATGTTTCAGCACTATACGTCAGAGCTGGCACAAATTGATGCTGGTATACTTTTCGCTTCAATGATAGCGGCATATTTCCGGACATTGTTTTAAAGGGTTGGCCCGATGCACTTCACTCATTTCTCATTTTGATTCTTCGGTTAATTTCTCTTTCCTCATTACGTTTTCTCGTAAGCAGTTGTCAATGTACATGCCAATGGCTGCTAATAGGGAATGAGAAACAGGAGCGTTCGGCTTTTAGTTAACACGCACGCTGTGAACTTTTTATTGTTCAAGAAAGCACAGGAGAAATCTCCCACCAGCACAACCTTGCAGGTCAAAATGTAACACTGGTTACACACTACGACTACGACTACGAGAGACGACCGGGTGCCGCTCTAAGGAGCTTCGCCCCTAAAACACAACCCTGCTAATGTCGTCGAATCCTTCAATGCTGGCACTCCGAACACAAAAAAAAACGTTCACTGGCGCTCTCTGCAGTGTCGATCGTTTACAGGCAATGTAGCAATGAACCGGCGATAAACACCATTCAGCAAATAAACTATGCTAGACTGAAAAACAGCGTCTTGCCACACCTACTTCAATGCTACAATTTAGATGCGTCGACAGAACGGACACTTCAAACACTGCCAAATAAATACCATCAGACATATACATTCACGAACACCGGTGAGGTAAATACAACAAGCATGAAAGTACATGATTCAGGGAGCATTATGCGTACGTGACAGGTTAAAGACTTACTTGTATTTGCTTCCCATATTTTCAGTCTTCTTTCTGATTTCCTTGGTGCTTTTTCGAAGTCCACGTGCCTTCAGCTTCTCGGCATACGCTGCATATATTTTCAAATTCCGCTTGGCCCGGTGAAATTTTTTTCTCGCAGGCGTATGAGCGCCCGCGCCTCAGAGTCGGAGCGCATTGTCTTTGTTCGAGAAGCACGAGGGGCACACGCCATCGTAAATGTCTGAAGGACGACTTACCAACGCACATGAAAGTGTGCGAAAAGGTAAACAATGCGACGGTGGCGGCCATTCTCGCACGGTCCATCCGCATGTCCCTCTGCAGACCCATCCCACTTTTCGTTTTTTTCCATGGCTACCGCCTTCCCCTAGCGTACGCGGACGCAAACTGCCTGCGAGCTAGAAGCGAGGTTGTTTTGTTGCAGTATGACTTGCCTAAATTGAAACAAGTATTCCAGATAACAAGAACAATTCTTCAAGTATACCATAAGCGCCGCTTCATGCGATGGCCTCTTTATGTGCAAGAGTGCTACTGATGCTACACACTCCGCCGCAGTGAAATAAGGTCGGCGAACGCACTTGCTGGCAAGTGTATTTTGCTGCGAGTGACACTCAAGTTTCTCGTGTGGCAGCGCACAAATGACATTTGCGGCTAAGTGTACTCGCTCAAAATGCACTTAAGTTGCCACGTGTGACAGGGGGGTTAAGTCTGTGGAAGTGTCCTTTGCGTATTGTTACCCATGGCAGAAACATTTTGAGAGGGGCACGTGCCTGATGTGCCACTCCCTGGCTACGCCACTAGAGCGAACCAAAAATGATGTAATATCAATGGGCAAGCAACTACGCTGTCACCATTATCTTAGAAATCCACAGGTGACCTGAGGTAGTTGCACAATTGGCAAGTTACTTACCTGTACTGTTCAATGCACGCCAAAATGTGAGTGGTAGGGGTTCCGGGGGGCAGGTAGACGGTGGTCATGCCCTCTGCTATGCTGCAGATAGCGAAGTCGACGTGCCCGAATGCATGGTACAGCGGCATTGCACAACACATCACGCTTCGCTGCGTGATAATACAGAGAATACAAAATTAGAAACGTCGGTAAGTACTTATTTAATGCAGAAGTAGCCTTCCAAAGAACGGAAAAAAAAGAGAAACGCAATGAGAACACAAACTGATCATGCGCATTTTCTTATCAGAAGGTTCCTTGCTCATATATCAAAGCAATCCCGATTATATAAGAAAATATCAACACTGATTACATATTTGCAATAAGAATTGCTATAAATACGACCAATAAACAACTTTCAGCCATCAGAAGCATTTTGTAATGGAACGTGGTAATGCATCTGACCTATAACGGCTCAGTATTATACGCGAATAGTACAACCTATGAGAAAAAATAATATTTAATTCAAAGATCCCGGCAAACAATCGTAATTTAATCTTACGTTTAATACAATGGATATAGAAACTTCTTGGATTTATTTTGCGACTGATATTTTTTGATCGGAGAGTGGCCAAAGAGTGGCACACCGAGCGCGTGTGCCTCTCAAAATTTTTTTCTGCCATGGGTAACAATACGCAAAAGGACACTTCAACAGACTTAACCCCCTGTCACACGTGGCAACTTAAGTGCACTTTGAGTGAGTACACTTAGCCAAAAATGTCATTTGTTGCGCTGAAAAACGGCTAAAATTTTGAACTTTCGCTCAAACGCTAAGCAACAGCTGCTGCTGAGTTGCTGCAGCGAGTGCATGGTGGGTGAATTAGAACACCTGTGCTATGTCAATATGTTCTGGAGTCCCAAGTAATACCACAAGCATTTCAGCAGAGCGTTTTCTTTCATAGGCAAGCAAATTGTCTGTAAGAACAATTCGAACCTATTTTCCTTGACAGTTTAGGTCAAAACCAAACTAGCCAGAAATGTGTACGGGGTAGTTACGATTTAATATGCACTTGTACATTTCTGCTTCCGTAGCCTCACCTGCACAGCGCCATAGCTAAATGCAACCACATAAGAATTCGCCACAGCTTTGCTGTATAGAACTATATCTACAGGTTATTTTCACGCTGTGGCCCCGTATGAACAGCTGAAGAGTACGAAAATATGGATGCTTTATTAATTTCAGACGCACTACAACTGATTCCTTGAATTTTGCGTGAATACCATCCCACTAAGGATTTTAAAAATTTCCCATTTTTTTTTTTTGATAGAGAAGTATTCCCGTACGCAGGCCTGATGCCGCATTTGGTACGTTATTGACTGCATTACGACAACACGTTACTGCATTTGCACTGCCACATACACAGACTCTGCCAATAGGTCCTTTATTAGGTTGATATATCATACAGTTCAAGAGATTGTAAAATAATTTAACGAAAATCGACAGACTTGCGTCGTTCCTTACGTGCTGTGTAATTTGTGAGTGCTAGTTTCATTTTTTTTTGTGAAAATAAATTTTTGTGAAAAAACAACTATAGCAACGTATACAACAGGTATTGAGAGTGGAAATTTTGGGGTGGAATGCAGTATAAAGCGCTGTAGGTAAGGCGAACGTTACTTCCAACCATAAATATTTCACGGATTCTAGCGAAGACGTATTATAGAATTAGACGGACGTATCGTGATGAACCTAATGGAGGCATATAAGTTTCAGTGTGCTGCATGCAAGACAATGAAATATGCGAGTTTGAAATACCTATCACACAATGCTCCTATCACACCATGCTCTTGCGCAATGTGCTAAACTGTACTTGGCGACAACTTATTTTGACATTGGAGAGAAGGCTATGCGGTGGCACGTGCGCACATTCGTCTTGCTCCGCGAGTAGTGCGGCAGACTGCAGCTGATTTTGCTATCACGCTGATCCATCATATTTTTTATTACATACTTCGGGCGCGAGGTCCTTGCAGAGTATGCAAAACACGATCAAAGAGCAAAACAATCTTGTTAGTTGAACCAAGGTCTTGACCTATACACTTTTACGTAACCCACATTATCCAATGAAAGTGTGAAAAACAACTGATATAGTGCGTTAGTGTACTGAATAATATTATTGAGCGAAAAAAAAACAATATTTAAGATGGTCAGTTCGGGCAAAATAGGGAGTTAAAGCATTTGGGTGATGTTGTCAAATAGGCCTCATCAATATTAGACTCCATTATGCTGTTGGATCGAGTGCGAGCTGTGAGAGAATGTCACGCCGCAGTTTTTTTTTTTTCGATGTGATTCAAGACTGGGGATATCATTCGACGGCATCAGTTCAGTTGGTGAGGCGAAAGTAGAAAACTGAGAATAAACAAATAAAATCGCCTGCCTTTGGATTCATTCAAGGTTTTTATCATGTTACATTTTGCGTAAAGGTCCCGTGCAATGCAGACTTACTCGAGCTTTGGTAAAATGATAATACGCAAGAAGTTTAAAAGAGACTGTATTGTGTTTTGGTTTGTATTTAAGAAAGCATAGTTTTCTGAAGGCAGAGGAAGATATATTTTCTAGGAAAGGTTATTTCAAATTGTGACACCTAACTATTTATTGTTATTTGCTTCTCTTAGTGTAGAGGAGCCCAGCATATAATTGTAACACAGGAATGTTTTCTTTCGGGAAATTGGTGAAAGAACAATTTTTCCTACATTCAAGGTCATATTTCAATGCGAGCACCATTGAAAAATGCAACTGAGGCTTTAGTTTAAGTCACCTTGCTCACTAACACGGGTAACTTATTTAAACAATACACAATCGTCGCAGAAGGGCCTTATTTAGACATTTGGTTTAACAACATCAACAATGTCACTGACGTACAGGAGGAACAACAATGGACCGAGTAATCTTTCCTGCAGTTCTTCAGAAGTGACTGGCAGAGAGGCCGAGTGGTGCCCACCTATACCCACGAAGTGTTCTCCATTTTTTCTGTATTCAGCTATCCAAGAAAAAAACTAATAAGGAATATCATATTTTTAGCTTAATTATTAGTTTGGAATGAGAGACATTATTAAAAGCATTGATAAAATTCAAAACAATTACATCAATTTGATTATTATTGTCAAGAGGAGAAGCAAAAGTATGAATTACAGTGACTAGTTGTATTACTGTAGAACTGTGTTGCGAGGTGGTCAGAATTTTTCTGTCGTCAAGAAACTCGCTCAGTGCTATTGCAATAACATGTTCTAATAATTTACAGGAAGAAGTTGTTAGTGAAACGGGACGATAGTTATCCAAACGGAGACGATCACTTTTTCTTAGATGGGCACGAGACGGCTGGTCCGTCTTTCAGCGAACTGGAACACGACAAGGAGGCATGAAATATGTTGTCAAGGTACTTTGCAAGAGGTTCGGCGGGAGCAAGTTTTAATTTTCAAGTTCAGTAGCATTGAAAGCACTCCATGGTAGTCAATAAAACTTAGAGAACTTGAAGAATTTGTAATGGCCGGGACGTCAAGTGGGGCAGCAAGGACGCTATCAGTTGCAACTAAATAAAACACTGTTGAAGTAGGCCTTGAATTTTTCAGTAATGACTCTTTGTTCGTTTATAATAACGCCTTTAACATTATTCTGTGACAGTGTTTTGTTTTCCTTCCCTCAAATAATAGGATGGTTTTATTAAAGTTTTTAAGCACTATAATGAAATACGATTATTTTGAACGATGCAATGCATTTGCAAGGCTTCTGTTAACCTCTGCTATAACAGGCAGAAATGCTCGATTTTCAGCGAAAGCTGTTATGACATCTAAACTCGGGTCATGCGCCATCGTAGTTGTGCGCCACCGCCGCAGGTGTCCGTAGCCACATCGCACAAACTAGAAAAAAAAAGCCAAGCACCAATGACACAGTGAAGCGCGAACCAGAGTCCATTGGGTACCAGCCCAATATTACACCAAAGAGATACGCTGGTGCTTGGCACTTGTTTGCAAACTTGCCTTAGCCAGGCTTGATATCGAGAAAACAAATACGTTAATACGACTTATAAAGCGTTTTTAAAAACAACCAGCCGTCGCACAGTGAGAATAGCGTAACGAGTGGGTCGTCCAATGCTCCAACCCATTACAAAAGGTTGATCTTGTTCACCTAATAACTGTTGCGCATATCCACCTCATACATAATTTCTCATCGTCATCAGCCACTTCATGAACAATTGGCACAGATTTTCTTGCAAGTGTTAAGCTGATACCACACTTCTAAAAAAATTATGCAAAATAGCATAGCCAATGCCGGCCTACTAGCACAAAAATCTATTACGATGCCGTAATGAGTATCAAGCAAGTGTGCTTGCAGTAATTAGCCAATGAATGCTTAGAAAAGGCCCTGAAAGTGCGCTCTTCTAGCTTTCGCAGTGACTGTGCATGCGCCTTGCGAGCAAGTCTGGTGTTTTTTTTTTAATCTCTTAACTTTACGTTACGATTGTATGATTTTCCGCGTTATCCACGGCGTGTCCTTCTTTATTTTCTTTCGTTTGCTAGTGACAAATTTGTCAAGGCAATACTAATAATAAAGCTATATGTGGTAGGGCCACTGTTAGGCAGTGATTTCTGCCTTTAGCCGTACCGTCCCTCGACATGCATTATGTAGAAAATAAACAATTCAATTCACTTAACTTCAATATACACAAAAATATGAATGGGCTAAATATTTACTTTGCTCAGTGTGTCTTGTTAGGGGTGCATATTTCTTGAAAAAATAAACAGCACATCTGCTGCCGCACACTGACCCACTACGCCGTGGAAGCCATGTTTAGGATGGAAAACGGATGTCCTGAAGCAGTGGCCTGTCTAAGCAATGAAAAAAAAATGAAGGTTTTTGGCTGTGAACAGCAATGGTATTCAACCTGCGTCTTCTCGTAACTCCTCTTGTGTTATAGCAAAGCAGCGTAAATTTCAGCAAAGCAGAATGAGAAAATTATCAAATTACATAAGCACCACGTCTAAGCATGTGATTTTGTTCTGTAGCTAGCACAGTGCTGTCGAGAAAAGTTGTCGCCTAGTATATAAGCGTGTTGACAGAGTTTCCGATCACAGCAACATCTGCGGCGTAGGAACACGTGCTGATTGCATGGCTCCTCAA